GTGCTGGGTGTCATTGTGTGGGAACACCCTGAAGGCCAACGGGTGGCTCTGCAGGGTTCGCTTATGCCATTGTGTCTAGAGCAAGTGACAGATCCACACCCACCTCTTAGGCAGTGGGCCACACTCTGCCTGGGCCGCACATGGCACCATCACCCCGATGCAAGATGGGCTGCAACTCGTGACAATGCCCATGAAAAGCTGTACACTCTTCTGTCAGATCCTGTGCCAGAGGTAAGACCAGTTTTCACCACTTGGGTAAATATGGTTGTATATCTTATTTGTTAGAATTGTAATTGATGAAAATATGAGTTTTTTAAGCCATTATCATCAGATACATACACTGTCTATACTCCTCAAGCACTTATTCACCAAGGAATGACCTTACCTGATTATGCCATTTCTTGATTTTTTAAGTAAAGTTTTTCTTTCTAAAACTGTTATTGTTACTGTTATGAGTGTTATTATTAAATTTAGGATTATGCTATAATTATATTAACAACAATGATAGTAATAAATATGATAAAGGAAAAACAACTTTCCCGAAATCAAGGTAGAGGGTAAATAGGCGAGATCAGGTTGGCTTTGAAATTGCAGAGCCATCCATGTCTAAACAAAGTTGATAAACTAAAATCACAGTGGACTTGGGCATGTATATACCTACCTGGCATCAGCAGGTTTAAGATCTCAAGACATTATTCTTGAGGTTCTCAGTTAAAATCAAGATACAATATTGATTTTGATCTTGAATATGTATTAGCAACAGTGATACATTTTGGCATGTCTTAGGAATTAGCATACCTGAAATAAAATAAATGGGAATTTTTAGATCTTTGGATATTTAGTTTAACACCTTCCCGAAGGGTCACGCCCTGAGGTGCCATAACAAAACACTGGATCTGTGGAGTGCGGCTGTACATAGTGGCTATGTGCCAATGCGCTATTAGGCAGTGATTTGGCTTGATGTAACGAGCTCCTGCACCCAAAACCAGCACATTGCCATTGATCTCCAGAGCATGGAGAGAGTTTTTTTTTTTTTTTTCCCCTTCTTCAGCCCTTATTAATGGGTTAATAATGTTTTTTTTTTCTCAAAATCATTATTTTTATCTTTATCCAAATGGTCAATAGATATGAAATATTTGAATTTAAGTCATCATAATCAAAATTCTACTTTCCAAAGGTGCGTGGAGCAGCAGTCTTCTCCTTGGGAACATTTGTGAGCAGTCTGGCTAGTCATGAGAGGACTGATCATGCCCGTGCCATAGACCACACCATTGCCATAACTCTAGCCAATACTGTCACTCATGACGGCTCTCCACTTGTCAGACGAGTAAGAAAAATACACTTCTTTGTATTCTGAAAAAAATAACTTTGATAAAGTCTGCTGTGCAAGATAAGATCAGTTGATATATATACACAAAGTTGATATGTTTATCTCATAAGTGATTCTAATTTTGTTCCTTTTCTCCTTACCTTTTTTCCTCTTATAACAGGAGTTGGTAGTTGCCTTGCAATATCTCATCCAGATGTATGAAAGCTCCTTCCTCACAGTAGCACGGCAATATTTTCGCGAAGAGATGGTTGATCTTTCACCCCAGTCACTGACGTCTTCTACTGATAGCATAATGTCACCGTCAAATAGCATCAGTCGTGTGTTTGCACGTCAGGGGGGAAGACATGTCACATCCCCTAATCAGGTGAATGTTTCTAATTTTTTAGATAGAAATACCAGTGCTCAAATGCAGTTTTTCTTATTATATATTTACAGTAGAGGATGCCTTTTGACATTTGCTTCTGTTTCCTCAGACATTAGGGACAAGTCCAGACACCTCCCTCACTGACTACGGCCCTATGTCACCAGTAGGAGTGAAAAGGACAGCATCAACACATTCTATATCTTCCCTAGGTAAATTTTTCATTTGCAGTAAAGATGGTATATTGTATGACTTTTGAAAATTACATTAGTGCTCAAATGATTTTCTTGGGAACTAAGTTTTACTAATTGTGTATGTAGTAGGTTTTTGTCTATATAGGTGTGGTTGTGTGTTGTTTGAATTTTGAACATTATCAACAGAAAAATATGTGTGGCTGTATATATATACTATATAAAAGGTAGGTAATTATAACTTTTTTTTTTTTTTTGTTCCTATATGATTATTTACCTCTTGCCTGTAATAATGCAAGCATATCAGGGTTCATAATGAATCCAGAGAATTTTGCTGACCCAATATCCTGAAGGATGTGTCCATACTGGTAGCTAGTTGGCACAGTTGGGTTTCATTAGTGCTCAAGTGTTTCCCTAATAACATCACATGAAAGAATTAATATAATCTTACTTAGTTCATTCAAAAAAAGTTTATTCAGTAAGGACAAATAAATGAACTACTTCCCAACTGCTCCCTCCTGCCTGTGCAAGCTTACCGCCAGCATGGACATGAGAAGACAGACTTTGTGAAGATAAATTGCCCAACATCTCCCCCCACCCCCACCCTAAAGTGGTGCTTCCACCATAAGAAGTTTATGGTGGGAGGTCACCCAGGACCATTCCACCATCTGCTGGACTGAATTAATTAGGAAATAGAAAACTCTGGTTTACTACAGTGAGGCTGTATAGAAGTCCTCATACACAAGAAGAAGTTAATGTGGCAGAATTTTTAATTTAAAATAATGGATCTTGTAGAGTATGAATTTTTTTATTTCAGAATTAATTGGTTGAAACACAAAAGTAAAGGGGAAATAAGTTTATTTTGTATGAAGGTAGTATTACATATTTTGAAAAGGATTTTTCCATAATGTTTTTTCCTTCTGAAATATTGGACCAGCAACTCTGGATCCATTTTGAACCCTGATACCCTATTGTTGAGGAACTTGTGTGGAAAGGCTTAACATTATATGCTGTCTAATCTGTACTTACTGATATGAGTGTATATTTTCCCCCCTTTTTTTTTTTTTTTACTGAATAAAGGATAAATGGATGTATCATAATATTTTAGCATAGACTACTTTAATTCTTGTCATTTTATAAAAATAACTGCTCTTTTCTTATATGGCATGATCCAGATAAGAAGCAGCATGTTGATGAAGTGTACAGTATTTGTATACCGTATCAGAGGAGTATTCATATATTTTATATTGTATACATAATTGATTGATGGGCAGGCTTGAAGGAACATATTTGCTGATATCCAGATACAGTGTGTTATCTTTTTTTCTACTTCTTTTTCTTCTTCTTCTTCTTCCAAATGAGGACAGTGTTTTTATTTCCTTTCCTTCCGTATTTAGAATGCCAGAGAGCCTCAGGTATGTTATAGAATATAACAAAAGAAAGAGGTCATATGTTCTGAAATATTTTATTTTTGTTTTTTAATGCTGCATATACTTGTCAGATTTTTATTTTTGATACTGTATAGGCACTTGATTGATCTACAGTAGACATTAGAAAAACTTGTTCTTGATTTAAAATTATTCCTTTTCTTTTCCTAGGGTGCAGCAATGTCTTTTCAGGGGTCAGTACTCTGTCTTATAGTGGAATGTATTGCAAACTGTGGCAGACACTCATTACACTGGAACGGGATCCATTCCCTGCTGTAGCTTCAATGGCAAAGACAGTAGTAGATTATGTTAGAAGCAAAGTAAGTAGCCTGTTTCATTGTTTGATTAATATTTACAGAAAGTATTGTTATTATTTTTCTATTGATATATCTATATATTTTTTCTATTGATATATCTATATTTTTTCTATTGCTATATCTATTTTGTTTTTGTTTTTTGCAATATTAGATAAAAGATGAGTCTGCATCAGGTGCCCATTTAAAGTGTTGAATCAATAAAGTGTCAAGCCTGTATTTGGTTTTCTCTTTTCAAAAGTGAGGCCAGATATTTGTATTAGAATCCTCCTTATGGCATGATGTATTGATAAGTTTATTGATTTATTTTATTTTTCTTATTTCTCATATATATTTCTATAAAGAGTAAGAAAGTTATATATATGAATATCATACTTTCAGGTTGTAACTGGCTCAAGAGACATAATGGAACAAAAGGTAGAATCTGCTCCAGGTACCCCAGTCAATAAACCCATTTTCTTGCCGTAAGTACAGAACACAAGCCTTACCATTGTATTTATTATTTGCAAACTTTGTCTTTTTGGTTCATTGTGAAAGTACTATTTTAATCCATTACCACAGAAACCATGTGATATCTACTGTTGTTTTGTTATGTGAATTGTGTTTACACATAGATGGCTCCACAAATTCTCAGCCATTAAAGTCAAGTAGTTGAGCTACAGGACCTCACCTGATTTTTCCCTTTCCTTGTGTTTTCAGGAAAAGAATATTTTTTTCTAATGCTATTAATATGAATACTGTTATTATTATTATTATTATTGACATTATGATTATTATAACGTTATTAACAATACTAAGAGGAACAAAAAAAGGAAAATAGTATTTCTGAAAATCAAGGAAAAGTTTAAACAGGTGAGATATGTCAGGACTAGTAATTGATTCCTTTGTGATTAAGTATGTGTGGAACTATATATGTGTAAACAATTGATAAACTAGAATAACAGTGAACATGGTATGTATGCACCTGCCTTCCCCAGCAGTAATGTGTTGAGTATATAAACTAATTGAAATGAGAAAGTATAATACAAATAATCTTTCATGTTGTTCAGTGCATATGATTGAAGTTGAAGAAAGACAACTTGAGATGTAGTTTTGTTTCTTTGCTTAACTTAGTTACATTTTTGTAATAGATAAAGATTATATTCATTATTACAATTAGCCTTCATTTTTGTTCTCTTTCAGTGGGGAATCCCCTCCATCAACCATAGAGACCTCTACACCAACACGCTCAAGATCAAGAAACCATTTGAATAACCATGTAATTTTACATAAACTTTTAAATATATACATACATATATATATATATATATATATATATATATATATATATATATATATATATATATATATATATATATATATATATATATATATATATATATGTTTTATATATTATATATATGTATGTATGTATGTATGTAAATATATGCATTGACTTTTTTTTCATGAAAAATTAGATATTTATTTGTTGTTGTAAGTAGTTGTATATGAGAGTGTTCTAATCTAGAGTATATTAAAACAAAATATCCTTTCAGATTTTTCTACCATATTTACTTGGTTTATGTTTTTCAACAGAGTGAAGAAAATGATAATGGCTTCATGAAGCCATTAGTAACAACAGAGTTTGTGGAATGGAGTGCTAAGACCTTTATTCTTCCACGCCAAAAAACAAATGATGAATTAAATTCCCCATCCTCACCACTACATGGTTACTCTGATAGGTAAGTATCTTGTGAACAAATAGGCCTTCTTTCTTTAGAAAGGCATGGTTTAATGTGAAAGATTTAGTTAAAAAAAAATTGTTGGGTTAATTTTTTCCATTAATGCATCTATCAGAAATATCTGTGTTATAAATTAAAAGATATAACATACTAAACAATAGTGATTTCACATACAGGTCTTTAAATTCACGGCTGCTAGCAGAGTCAGAAGAACGACGTAGTGTTGGAACAAATAAGTTAGATGATCAGGTGTTTGTACATCGTAATCCAGGTCCTCCAGCTGTGTTACTATTTCATCCAATCCATCCACTCCTTACTGTTGCAGACAAGAGTAATGTGACGTGAGTATTCTATATTAGTTGGTATCATGGACAGCCTCTATTCATATATATATATATATATGAATATGGAATAGTCACACTATGTGACCTCACAGTTGATTTTATGATAGTGATACTCGATGAAAGAATTTATCTTATTAAGGATGTTACAGTCTGAAGAGTATAATTAATTACTTACTCTTGCTTGAATATGTTGATATTATGGACTACGAGATGCAAAACCTTTGTACCTGTATCAAAGAGAAATAAAATTTATTTTAAGAAATCACTAGACTTCATCAGCAATCTGAAACTGATGTTATCTAGATTATTTTTTCCTCTTTTGATTTATTATTTAGATTATGATTAGTCTTTGCTGACTTTTTAAAGTCATCAAGCATTTATGATATCATAACTGGTCCTGTGTTAATACTTTCTACACCGTCTAAGGTGTTTATAAATTTTTTTGTTATAATATAGTGGCACAATTTTCACAAAGAAATATTATGTAGCTGTCTTAATTGGAGCTAAGTCCTGTGTTTGATTAATTTCAGAATATGGGATGTTGAGCGCAGCTTACGAGTGAGTCATTGGAGCAATAATAATGTAGGCTCTAGTTGCATTTCTGCTCTGTCTGTTATCAACTCAGGGACACCATCTACCTATGTAGCCACAGCTTGTGATGATGGCAGTGTAAGAATATGGAAGGATATTTACCAAAGCTCCCATCAGACAACAAGGGAACCACCAGTACTTGTTACTGGTTTCCAGGCTACTCTTGATATAAATCCTGCTACAAGAGGTATGGCAGCTTATTACTTTTTATTTCTTCATGAAAGATAAGACATAACTACTGCATTAATGTAGCTGAAGCTAATGTGATCTGTCTTGCTTATGTAGAATTTATCTTCATTTGGCAGTACCATACCACTGTCATACCATATGTATAGAAATAATTGGCTGTAAATGGTCTGTACAAAAAAAAGACTACATTTATATGCAAATGTATATATACATGCATGTGTACATATGCATACATTTATATGCATATGTATGTATATTTATATATGTATATGTATATATATGTATGTGTATATGCATATATACATATATATGTATATATATGTGATATATAAATTATATGTGTGTGTGTGTGTGTGTGTGTGTATGTGTGTGTGTGTGTATGTGTGTGTGGAGATATATGTATATAATATATATGTATTATATATGTGTGTGTGTGTATATATATATATCCCAATGGCGCCGGGTGTACAAAAAAAAAAAAACAAAAAAACTCTACGCTCTAGCAAACAAAGGCGGCGCGCCGACTTTGAGTAAGTAGGGGACATCAGCCCGAATCACTGGCTCGCCGTGCTTTGGCGCGCCGCCGCGGCGTTTGGCTGCACGCCAGCTTTCGAGCGGTTTGTTTGCACGCCGATCGGCGTCACCCGGCACCAAGGCGATATATATATTTATGTATGTATGTATGTATGTATGTATGTATGTATGTATATATGTATGTATGTATATATGTATGTATGTATGTATGTATGCATGCATGTATGCATGTATGTATGCATGAGTGTATGCATGTATGTATGCATGTATTTATATACATCTCCATATATAAAAAATTTCTTTCATGAATTTTGGAATTTTCAGGAGCTGGTCTTTTATTGAGTTGGGAGCAGGATACCACAACCTTAGTTACTGGAGGTGACTCTCGAACTGTCAGGCTCTGGGATTTACAAGCAGAGCGTAGGACAATGGAGTTACCGACTGGGGGAGATAGTACATCATTTATCACGGCATTACATTCTCACCAAGCTGGACCTT